GGTTTACATTTACTATGTACTTTTCATACTTTAAAATCACAATTTTTTACTTAATAATTGATTCCTTGTGAGAACGTATAATATAATATCGACGAGCAACTTATATTTATTTATCGCTTTTAATCATTATTGTAGGTATTAACCTCCGGATTGCCAAATAATAAAAAAAAAACTTAAAATACCTGGATTGCAATTCAATTGCTGTTGCGACTACTGTCCTATTTGTAGCCATCATGAAAAGGTACAACGACGTTTCCCTTCTTCATGAAGAGCGTCCCATTTAACACAAATAAATAAACATTTACTCACAACGCGATACAAACACGGGAAAACATAAAAAAATAATTAAAAGGTTTAATACCTGCTACTAAGCAATCCATTCAATTGGAGTTGCAGCTAGTTTTGGCTCCTATTTGTTTTTACCTATTCGTATCGTGTTGTGTGTAAATGCGACGGGGTATTTTTATTTCTTTTAGAACCACCAACTTTTAAATTGTTCCACAATTCATAGGAACAGTGTTGATACTTGAGTACAGTACACACAGGGTGGTGAAATATAGTAGTGGTGTTTACTGGTGGTAACGTTACAGACTGGAGCTTAAATAATCACAGTTAGTAAAAAAGATGTATGTCCCATCAATATGTTAAAATCATGTATTCTAGAAAGATACAATGCAGTTGTATGTGAAAATAATGAAATATGTATGTGGATAGCATGAACAATTGATGGGCAAACGTACCCAAAGGAAGTTATGGATAGCAGATCAAAAATACAAACACTGAGTAAGCTACCAATTAGGTTATTATTTGGTTATGTTACCAATTATGTTATTTAGTTAGCCCTACTCTTAGAATCGAGCTTATTATACGACAACCAAACAATCAGAAGAGCTCCACGTCATACACAGATCCGACTGTATTCCTAGCGCAGCAGGACAAGTTCCAATACATCAGCTTGTAATTGTAGCCATCCGGCTCGAAGGACCATAAAACAACCTGAAGTGTCAGTCGCGGTCGCGACAGGTGGTCGAGGTTGAAAATACGTAATGGAACTGGAAAAGAGGTGTCACGTAGAGACAAACCGGGAGTGAAATATTTCCCGCAATTACAATAAACTGGAAACCAATCTTTAGAGAAAAACGACGCCGATGCCGTAGCGACAGGCATCAATACGACGCGGGAGGCTAAACCACTTCCCCCTCCTCAGTGTGGTGGTGTGGTGTACGCGGGCGCGGGCTCAGTATCACCGACAAACTATATCACTCTGTCTCCCAGCACTGTTATTACCTACTGCATATATCTGCTGTTGCGCTGCTCAGCGGCCGTTTTTTACCCTGAGTTATCACCCGTTCCTCAAGGGCCGGACGGTCACCCGCACAACGCCCGAGGGCTGATTATCGGGTCTGTGCCACAATTAATACGAGGTTTCGCCATTCTGGGGACTGGACCTCCGGAGTGTGGACCTCGCGACTTCCTGGGACAAAGACCTAGACTGTCTCCTATCATAGTCAACAGATGGGGGGGAGAATGTGTTTTTGGGGAAGATATTTTGGTTATTTCCAGGTACAGGGTTTAAAGGAATAAGGAAATTGTTAAAATGCTAGGGTTGTAGTTTATAATATGATTTAAAACCCAATATAATACCGTGGTATAAAGTATCTCTTACCGTGAACTTGAGACACGAAAATCGCATTTGACTAGTGAATTTATCAAGTCCGCCTATATTTTGTTGTCATCGAGTGCTATTTATTTCTTTAATAACGGCCGCGGCAACAGGGCATTAAAAGATAGCGCAAAAGAGGAACGGAATAACGATTAACAATAACAGAACAAACTGACCGTAGCGAACAGAACTCACAATTAACGGAGGCGGTATCGCGCGGTCATCGACCACCGGACAAACAAACCCCAAACACCTCCGGAGTGCGGAGTGGCGGGAAGACTTCGATGGCATCGCGAACCGTGATTAATTCGTAAGTCGGTTGCCAAGGCGATCCTATCGAACGGTGTTATCGACACTGTGAAATGATTTGAAAGTACTTTCTAAACGGCAATTATTGATCAAAGGGACCTGCTGCCGTATATCAAACGGTCGTGAGCGGAGGGCGGTATTAACAAATTGCTTTTGAATCGGAGAAATGGGAATAGGTTTTGAGATTTGTGGGGTCAGAGAACAATCGCGACGGGCGGGGCCCATGTGTGAGATGGAGCTTCCCAGGCCCTTTGTAGCTGTTAGTCTCTTGTTTAGATTGCCATAGTGGAAATGGTGATACTTTGTAGAGTGTCATCACTATGACACATGAGGACACTAAACCACTTATAGGCACAAGGTTATTGCTCGAATCGCTAGGTAACATAAACAACTTGGCCCATAGCTTTTGGACCCCTCCTTTCAGTGGATTTTATTCTCAGTTAGAAATACAGTGGTATGTAAATAGTTTTACTTTAGCTAGGTAGGGGTTTTTAATGGAACAGACGTGAACATTTTATTTGATATTTAATGATGTTGCTTCTCGTATTTGAACCCCACTGAGCAAAGATGAAAGTAAAAATTGAAAGTCAACTGTCAATGTATCAATCAATTTCCTAACCAACCAACAAGCCTTTACATTTCTTTTGCAAAATATTTGTTGCAGTGATGTAATTGCGACTCGGACAGAATTATAGCAGTTTATTATGTTTAACAGTTTATATACAGGCAGCCCACATATTCGTGAGCTAACAGTGTTTTAGTATGTGTAATTGTAAACTTAAATATTTATATTGCCCGATGCCAAACAACACATCGTAATCCCTGGGTGGAACACGGCCCAACTAGTGAGCAGGTACGCCCAACACAAGGCGACAGCAGTGTCAACTGGACACTCAAAGACGTTCAAACAACAAATTGTCCACTTCCAAAGGCTTATAAAGGTGGGCGGGGTGAGTTAATTACGCGCGTCACGGGGGGCTGAGATATCGCGGTCATCCTGGACTACGACGTCGACTAGGTCCCATAAAGCGAGGGACGAGACGACGCATTTACATTAAATCGCCGTTCCGTACGAGTTTTATTCGGAATGGTCGCCGAGAATTATGCCGACCCGCGGTAATATCTGGGAACGGCCGATATCTCGGAGCTTATGGCGGCGAGCGGTAAACAAACGTGTATAAGTGTCGTTGTAGTAATGGAGATGCCACTCCAGTGCCACTTCGCAGTCGCAGCCGTGGAAGTTGATGGTGATTGGGCAGAATGATTTGCAAACGGCCGGCGACGGGGACGGGAGTTGTAGACAACTGGACCAAAGTACTGGTCCTTTGTACAGTTCTGCATTACGTGGACGTGGTTTATGGTCATTGAAGAAATCATTTGCAAAAGGAGGTAGGACGATAAGACGGCGTGTTTTTCTGAGTAAATTGGGCCATAATATAGAGCGACTCTCGTCATTCCGACCTGTGGCTGTTGGAGGTTGGTGGGCTTGTGGCTTTAGATATAAATTTGTTAACTGATATTGAAACTCTGAGAGGGCCTGTTGTACAAACATTAGAAATTAGCCTTTATTCGATTGAGGGACATCTATTTATTTATTACTAACAATAAATTTATTAGAGTAAGCAAAATTAGCCTTTGATGGGGTTTTGCATAAATAAACACGTTTGAATTGCCCATGGAAACAAAATTAAAAATAGTTAAAAAGATCAACTGAGTTGTTGGCACCTTGAAAAGGTTTTTCCGTCTCGCATAATAACGCTAACTGGTTAACTATAACTACATTTCCTATATTGCATTATAAACAACCCAGCTTTTGATATGATCTGGTGCTCTTATAATCAAGAAAGGCACTTCTACCTAACTAATTATTGGTATTGCTCAATTGTAATATTGACATAAGTTTTTCAACAGAATTAATATTCTTGGTTCCCTTATAATTATCAAATGTGAACTGATTGCGACAGCGTTCTGAAATTTATGACATTCTTTAAACACGAAAGCTTCAATAGACGTTTTAATCATGCAACAATCCTCTCAAAATCTAGGAAATCCAAGATGCTATCTAAAGACATAAACGGTTGACATCTACAGCTACAACCAACATACAATAGTCTTGGAGGAATTGACGAGTTGCCCTGGTCCTAAATATCTCGAGAACATATGAATTCGATGACCTCGCGACCCCACCTTTTTAGTCGGTTTTGGGATTTGACTGGTCAAAGACGAATGGCGGCGGGTGCGAGACGCTCGGCGCGCGAGTAAATCGTGGAGAATGGAGCTATCGTCGCAGAATGCGGGACAATAGCTGATAAGATGTGCGATAACGTGATTAATCCTCAGATGGTATCGCCACTGTCCACCACTTGTGTTCTATTAGAACTTAATACAATAGAATTAAAAATGTAGTTTAATTTTCGAGCCACGCAGCCACGGCCTTGGTAATTAGACAAGTGTGTTGCGCGCTAAATCATGTCGACGATGATTTACGCGGCGGTGGCTTGGCGGGAGCGGACGGCGCCATCTTGGAAGGTAATGAGCTACGCTGACACGAGGCGGCGCTACTATCGGTCACGACCAACCTAACCTAACAGCACTTCCGAGAAACGCATTTCTGCAATGGATAATCACACAGAGGTATTGGGAAACGGGACTTTGCCCGCGACTAGTTAGCAAAGATTGTAGAAGTCGACTTATACAAAAGAGGAGTTTACAGTCCATAAGATTGTCGTGGTCAGTTGATTAGTTCGTACTTTAAAAAGTCTTCCGCAGTTGCTGAGTGGCAAGAATGCCTGGCAAAAGCGGACATGGATCATTGGTGACACATCATTAAAGAGGACAATTGCGGACACTAGAGATTACTGCCACGTAAGGTGTTTGAAAGGTCTTCATATGAAACATGTTCAAGATATGGTATGAACAATATGAAGTTCAAAGTTGAAGAGCAATATTTTGACCAGCCATGAAATCTGATACCATTAACTACGTCTGAGGTTTGAAGCTATTTTATAATCAATATTTTTTGTTTCAGAAATACCTGTAACCAACACAGATGGACCCACGAGTTAAAGAAGTTCAAGTGTCAAGAAGAGGGTTGTGTGTACTCGGGTAGGTCGAGAGGGGAACTTCAGTTGCACATGAGGAGCCACGGAGACGAGCGACCTTACCATTGCAACGACTGTGACTTCTCCACCAAGACCAAGGCCCAGCTCGTGAGGTGATCTCATAACAAATAGTCTAAAGTCAGCTGAAGCTAGTATTGTATGAATGTTGAACATACGATGTATGCAGTCTGTGAGTATGCAAGTAGATCGGCCTATACATCTGGCCATTTTTCGAGTAGACTCTTGAGCGATTTGGATTACACGAATTGGAAACTCAGAGCTTTTAGTAAATTATGAGAATTATGGCTGTGGCTAGTTTTCCCTTCCAAGAATATAACCCTTCTTATTGTCTATCTACTCTACACTATCCCTGTTCCATTGGATAGTTAAGTTCAGAAACCAGATTGCGAACATCAAGAACATTGGAATCATCTTCTAGTAAATAAATTATGAATCAAAAGTGCACTTAATTTTTCTTAGTAATCTTAATGTTTTATGTAAACTCGACTTTAAATTGTTAATACTGGCATTTACTTGGCGCATGTATGACTTATTTTGTTACCCTTAAAAACTATTTTTGGATATTACAGTTATTTCACTACTTTGCATAATAATAACTAATTAAGAACTGTTAGGAATAAAACAGTTCGCTGTTCGTAGGTTGTCTTTAAGGTTGTTTTTAAGTTTATTCATTTAACTTGAAATTCAGAAATGTAGAAATTAATAACAACACTACAGTTTGTCCCCTTGACAGTAGAAACAAAAGAACATCGATAAAAAACTAATAGTTAATTAGTTTTTTATTAGTAAGTTAAGTCTTCTATTTCTCAGTAATTTTAATATATTTTGGAATAAGGTATCTTTGCCAATGAAAATCTCTCTTTATAATTCATCGACATAGTTGCCAAAAGAGATGAATCTGTTTTTTTCCTGAAACCCTGAAAGAAAAGTAGGCTATGTTGAAATTGTTTCTGCTAGATGCAAGACGATTGCAATATACAAGAGATTTCCAAACCGTATGCAAAATACAGTATATCGCGCTTTCTCTTTCAGGACGTGAGCTAGCGGTGACAGGTGATAGCATCTAGTGTAAGGTACACAACCGCCACCAGGCACCATTCGTGAGCGTTCCCTCTAATTATTGGAGCTACTGTAGGAGCGCGAGTAGCTACTGGAGATACCAACGTAGCACTCGATTCGCTCTAGAAGCACTTGTACGGAAGTGTATGATGATACTGGAGGTTCTGATGTAGGGAACACAACCGCCTTCAGGCACCAAACGTGAGCGATCCCTCTAATTATTGGAGCTACTGAAGGAGCACAAGTAGCTACTGAAGATACCAACGTAGCACCCGATACACTCCAGGATTACTTGTACGGAAGTGTATGATGATACTGGAGGTTCTGATGTAGGGTACTCAACCGCCTTCAGGCACCAAACGTGAGCGATCGCTCTAATTATTGGAGCTACTGTAGGAGCACGAGTAGCTACTGGAGATACCAACGTAGCACCCGATACGCTCCAGGATTACTTGTACGGGATTGAATGATGATACTGGAGGTTCTGATGTAGGGAACACAACCGCCTTCAGGCACCAAACGTGAGCGATCCCTCTAATTATTAAAGCTACTGAAGGAGCACGAGTAGCTACTGGAGATACCAACGTAGCACCCGATACGCTCCAGGATTACTTGTACGGAAGTGTATGATGATACTGGAGGTTCTGATGTAGGGAACACAACCGCCTACAGGCACCAAACGTGAGCGATCCCTCTAATTATTGGAGCTACTGAAGGAGCACGAGTAGCTACTGGAGATACCAACGTAGCACCCGATACGCTCCAGGATTACTTGTACGGAAGTGTGTGAGGATACTGGAGGTTCTGATGTAGGGAACACAACCGCCTTTAGGCACCAAACGTAAACGACCCCTCTAATTATTGGAGCTACTGAAGGAGCACGAGTAGCTACTGGAGATACCAACGTAACTCCCCATACGCTCCATGATCACTTGTACGGAAGTGTATGATGATACTGGAGGTTCTGATGTAGGGAACACAACCGCATACAGGCACCAAACGTGAGCGATCCCTCCAATTATTGGAGCTACTGAAGGAGCACGAGTAGCTACTGGAGATACCAACGTAGCACCCGATACGCTCCAGGATTACTTGTACGGAAGTGTATGATGATACTGGAGGTTCTAATGTAGGGTACTCAACCGCCTACAGGCACCAAACGTGAGCGATCCCTCTAATTAATTATTGGAGCTACTGAAGGAGCACGAGTAGCTACTGGAGATACCAACGTAGCACCCGATACGCTCCAGGATTACTTGTACGGAAGTGTATGAGGATACTGGAGGTTCTGATGTAGGGAACACAACCGCCCACAGGCACCAAACGTGAGCGATCCCTCTAATTATTGGAGCTACTGCAGGAGCACGAGTAGCTACTGGAGATACCAACGTAGCACCCGATACGCTCCAGGATTACTTGTACGGAAGTGTATGATGATACTGGAGGTTCTGATGTAGGGAACACAACCGCCTACAGGCACCAAACGTGAGCGATCCCTCTAATTATTGGAGCTACTGCAGGAGCACGAGTAGCTACTGGAGATACCAACGTAGTACCCGATACGCTCCAAGATTACTTGTACGGAAGTGTGTGAGGATACTGGAGGTTCTGATGTAGGGAACACAACCGCCTACAGGCACCAAACGTGAGCGATCCCTCTAATTATTGGAGCTACTGAAGGAGCGCGAGTAGTTACTGGAGATACCAACGTAGCACCCGATACGCGCAAGAAGCACTTGTACGAAAGTATATTATGATGAAACTAATCTTTTTGATTTAGGGTACTCGAATAATTATTGTAGCTACTGCAAGGACACATATAGCTAAGAGATATGAATAAAATGACGCAGTTTCTTAATTAACTTATTTGGATGTCTGTATTGAAATAATATAATCAATTTCGGCATTTGTACACAACCATTTCATGCTGGACTTTTGTACACGTATATCACACAATTGCATATTTTAGCCATTTAAAGATTTACATTTCCCAATATTATTTACAGTTGGGGTGATTGTCCATACTGCCTTAATCAACAGTATCATGGTTGATTTTCAGCAATGATCACTAAATTATATTTTATACTTGTCCTTTGAATTTCGTAGTTTGACTGAATATTCGAATTAGTACATTCAACTGCCGTTCAAACCATGTATCATTCCTCATAACACAAGGAATCCTGCTACACAGAGGAAGCTGTGGACCGGTTGTCGGTCCAAATAAAGCCGTGGTCGGACCGATAATTAAATGTGCTATCGGTTGTGTATCGGTGGTGACACCGTCGTGACCGGCCTCAGCCTCGTGAGGTCTTATCCCCCATAAAACACAGCCAACACGGCCTTAATGAGTTTCTCCTGTTACCGCCACCGCCGTGATCTAGGAATCCACCAAGACAGGGCAAAGCGGGTAGGGTATATGTTTATGTTCACATTTATGATAGTATGAAAATTTTCCTAGTGTAGTACCTATATTATTTTCCAAGTAATAGCGTTCTTCACACGTAAAATTTACATCGCAAAGGGTTAACAGGGAGATCATCGGATGACTTACAGTGTCCTATAATGTACAGAGTAAGGTTTGCCTACATTTCCATGATGCACTGTCATTCGGAAGTAGACAATGAAGCACCTGGTGTAGTTCCGTAACAAATTATCATCTTTATGTAACTGCGTGAAAAGTTTTTTTTACTAGGACGCAGTAGGGATGAGGGTGTATCACGCCTAAAGCCAATCAGCATGAAGTTTCCAGAGTTTTGTACGTAGAAAGCCACCATTTTGTATTTTACCAAGTCATATTTGGTTTTAACCCCTGTTTTAAAATATCTTTTGTCCAGACACGGTCGAACTCATCTAAACTCCAAGAGCCATCATTGTCCTCATTGTCAGTTCTCCTGCAACTCGTCCACTCATCTCAACCGTCACCTCAGACTACACACCGGAGCCAAGCCCTTCCACTGTCCACATTGTGATTTCTCGTGTAATTTGTTGGTAAGATCAAGCCTACTTTATATCACTTGTACTCAAAGGTTCTATCGTGCTAAACAAGAACAAAACCAGCATTTTATTATTAATAACTAGCGACTAACAGCTGAGTGTATCCTTTAGGAGAACCTACGCAAGCACGTGTTGTCGACCAAGAAGCACCCTGGGAAGTGTCTGTATACTTGCTCTGAGGAAGGTTGTCTCTTCGCCACCAACCTCGCCAAGGAGCTCCGAGCACATCTAGTGACCGTCCATGGCCAGACCGCTACCGCCGCCACCTCCTACGTCGCCGGTCTCTACCACGGGGGCGAGGACCCGAGCCACGTCGACCACCCTCTCCCTGCTGTCTACAGGTACAGTATTGGCAAACAAGTAACACTCACCTACAATAAATAATAATGTTAAATCTTTGCTCTTAGGTCATGAACGACGTGTTTGCCTATTTGAAGTCCGAAGGGCCCCGGAAGAGGGTTTTATGACTCCCTTCGGTAACTGATTCTGTCTGGAAATTATTGTTCGTGAAAGCATCATACAACAATGCATCGAATTTGATCACGCCAAATACACCATCAATAGTTATTAGTACAGTAGTATGTCTAATCTATATTCCACTATACCCAACTTAGGCTAGGATTATACTAGGACGCTGGCGTCCGGGATGCTGGCATCCGAGAGGCTAGCGTCCCACCTCGAGCCGAAAAATGACGTGATTTGTGTTGGGATGCTAGCCTCTCGGACTGTCATTTGATTTCAATGTTTAGTCACTTTTTGTAACATTAAATAACATTAGGTTTAACGAGTACCAAGGTTTTAAGTTTTAAGGGGGCTAATAAAGTGTGTTTTTTTAGTAAAATACTGTATTATTAGCTTAGTATAAAACAAATTGGCCAAGTTTAATCGAAATATATCCATACACAAGCAAATTCCAACACTTAACAACATTTTCTATAAGAATAACATGGCAATTTTAATATACTATTTTTTTAAATTTTCTCCATAACTAATAACAGTACAAAAAAACTTAAATATAGGTACTAAATTATTTGTTTTTAAGCTCATTAAAATTATCTAGAGAGAAATTGTGAATTTTTTTAGTTTTATGGGTCAAAAATAACAAACCCCCCTTTTTAGCACATTAACCCCGTTCCCAAGGTATGTTCATGCTGGTTCACGAACTCATTCAAATTTATCCCACCCTTCACATTAAAACCAAATTTCTTCAAAATAGATCAAAAGTTACTCCAGTTGTTTACAGACATATATATATAATATTTAAATCTATACGATCGGATGGTGTTTTTGGCCTCTGGGGACATCAAAATGAAAAAGTAAATCGGTCCCGGGCCTAGGTTTTACGATGCCACCTACGGTAATAACTTCGAGCTTTCGGTGACTTTTTTTAGCATCCGACGCTAGCATCCAAAGTATAATCGCCCCCATTTGATTTAATGCCCCGCTAGCGTCCCGGACGCTGGCCTCTCGGACGCTAGCGTCCTAGTATAATCCTAGCCTTACACGTTTAGTTTCCATTATTTAATCTTATTATGCAGGAAGCAGAATCAAGTGCAGTTTTCGCACTTCCATTGTTACTCGTATTCTCACTTATCCAGCGATATAAACAGGTCTGACGTACACTATATTATAGGGGCTCCGAGCCCACGCGGCCGATGACAAGCACATAAACAGCAGGGCCACTTTGACGTCTTGTAATGCCGTCATTGACGCCCTTTTTGGGAGGCGTTTGGGCGAGCCGCACTCAATATTCCTGGAATTAGTTAACACGTTTGCTTAACTTATAGCGGCAATTTGACGTTTTTGTCGGCACATGAAGTGTCGAACATTGGACCGAGCGGGAATTGTTTGAGTTGAGTGTATATTTAAGCCTTGCATTTTTAATTTGGTTTTATCCTTACTTGCTGACAGTTTTGTTTTGCTTTCATTGTGAATCCGTCTAGAAACATTTTAAAGTGTTACATTTTAAAATTGTTTAAATGTAATACACTTTCGTGATAATTATTCACACATTAAACAATATCCGACCAAAGACTTCGTCTTCTAATGCATTAAATTCTCCGCTTGGCAAATGTAGGTTAATGGTCTAATGTGACACTGATAACCACATTGGGTTTCCCGATGGCAATAATTGTTGCATGCATACTTTTGTATAGATAAAGCAATGATCTTTATATTTTTAATATGACGAATGACGAATCTGTTATCTGAATTTAATGTTAATACCTAACGTATGGCTTTTCTTCGACAGTGAATAGTTGGTGTTTAGCCGGACTACTGTCCCTCCATTGTTGAGTTGTAAACATCGTAGAGTCGTATGTTGTATGTTGTATCGCCGGTAGACCAATACCGTCAGTTGGGGAGAGTTATATGAGAAGTGACAACTCATACATGTCCGATGTATCCCGTCACTCCTTGTTCGTTTTCTTTTCCCACGAACTCGCGAGTAATAACTCTATCAGAGCCGGAGCTGAGTAGAAATAAACGACAAGGCCGTTGAAAATAACGACATAATAAACGTGAAATCAACTTCAATCAGCTGGCCCAATCAGTAAAATAGAACCGGACTATAAATACGAGTAAAATAAAAACCGAACGAGGATTAAATATTAATTAACACAACGAAATAACCGTAAAAGCGGACCGGATAATGACGCGACGGATTGAAAGGTAAATAATACCGGGACAATTCAATTAGGCGTGTGTACGATTGTTTATATGTTTCATTAATAAGCGTTCACAATTTTCGATAATTAGAAATATGCAAATGCTCAACGCTCGTCGCAAGGGCAGCTCGCGCATGCTCGATGATAGTTACTAATACTGTAGTGAGCAATCGAGTTGTAGCCTGACTCTGAGCAATTGAGTTGTAAATTGAGAGACCTCACCTGCCTCTTTATCAGTAGGCAATTGGTAAAGGAACAAGGCAATAAAGCTAGAGGAGATAAACAACATTAGTCACCAATATCAATATCAACACAAGTGGGTAAACATATAAATTTTACTTCACCTGGGCTTCCATTATAATATTGTCCAGTCGTTTTAGTTATGGTATGTTAGTGTCTAGAAGATACGTATTCATAGCCTACCAATCATTACAATCATAAGAATTAAAATTCCAAATATACTTATTCGTTGTCTTGGCCTCTCCAAGCTTACAACTCTTGTTGGCAAGGTTTAATTGATTTTAAAATAACAAACAAATTTTACAAATATTTTTCTATAATTTATATTTGTATTAGTAAAAGTTGTCATGTCTTAATTCATAGTTATAGGACATTATATAAACCACAACTTTCGTAAAATTCTTATCAATATCAACAAAAATAAATAAAATAACATTCTTGCGAAATTTCTCAGCAATATTATCACTGTAAAAAAATAAATAGCGAAACGTTTAACTTTGCTATACAAACCTAGGTACTCGTTAAACCTAATGTTATTTAAATACAGTAGATTTAATTTAAAATCAATTCAGGCAAATGGAAATTCGCTTAGTCTGCAGGTTTGCTGCAGCAGGGGTATTTTCCTCTGAATGCTTATACAGTACTACAGACTGAGCTAGTTATCTGATTTAAAAGGAAATACTTCCCCAAGTTATCCCCAAACGTAAAGAGTGTAGGCCTATTAGTCTTGATCTTTCATTGGGTTGACCTCTAAAACAAATTTAACAAATTTAAAAAATCTACAAATCTCAGTAGGTATTTCGTTCCTGTGTGGTAGGTTTACCTAAATATACATATACTGGCCACTACTACAAAGTAACCCATGTTTTCAGGAAGAAACGCAAGACGGCGGCGAAGCGCCTGCCTGAAGACACCTTGGTCCCTCACTCGCAGACCCTCTCCGACAACCCGACCCTCGCCTCCGCCGTGATCCCCGGTGGCTCCTCCGAGACGGGTCGTCCAGAGGACCTACTGAGGACCGTCATCATCTCCGAGCCGTCAGATGACGTCATCTGCATCCAGCTTCCGGCGGAGGACGGCCTGGAGTACGACGGCAGCTCGTTCTTCCGGCTGGACCTGGAAGACCATGGAGGTCTTATAGTGATTGACGAGGGGATGGGCGAGGACCAGCCACGAGAGTAGAGGACAGCAACAAGATTTTGAAAGGAAACATTATTGAAGTTTAAATTAATTTTGAAAATCCCTATTTGGAATTAATATCTAATAATAGTTCACATAGAATAAAAGATATAAAATTATCATAATTACACGACTAAAATGTAATTATTTTCTATTAAACTTGTTTAAATCAATGTTTTTAATAAGAGTTGTTATCTATTCAGACCTACAAACCAGTGGGGGCTGACCCACGTCAACCGTGATTAGGATTATTACAGCCTGGGAGACGTTCTCCTGCAGAAGTGACAAATAATTGTTGTTAATACACTTGTTAGTATTTTGTGACGTACTAACACCAATTTACGATTTTTTCATATTATCGTTTTCATTATGATCAAAATATACTGAAAAAAAAACAAATGATGGATTTACACGTGTGAATACCCCATTGACCAAAATTATCTAAAGACGACATATATTAACCTGTATCTCAACCGAAGGTACAATCACAGAGCTGTCACGTGACTACATGACGTCACAGACACGCATGAGCCAAGGCGTGTCGCCTACCTCGCCATATATCACCCTAAAGCCGTCATTATTCCAGATATTCGTCATATTTTATAATTAGTTGAGAGCCGCACAAAGCTAACGTTTTACTGCCCGTGTGAAGACGAACTCATGAAATGTTTTGACGATTATTTATGTATTTAGCATTCATCAAGTTTAAATGTGCCCCCTTAGTTGATTCGTTAGGTTCGGAATATTTACGACTGGAAGAAGCTGCCTAGGGCCCCGGGCCGGCTATACAGTACTGAGATGTGTGGGAATGTCTACTGTCTACATTCTTTGGGTTTGATGGAATATTGTTGATTTGTTTAGTCTATTAAAAACATACTGTCATTTTACACTTTTCCAAGCCGTCTTTCTACTCAACCATCCAATATCATGTCGTATATATGTCGTAGTTTTTCTTTAGAATGTATTTTATAACTCTTGAGGAATTTATAAATGCATCCCATCCCTTATAGGTGGGAATGTTTTTTACATTATAGTTTTATACAATTCACCAATTGGGTCTTGTCTGATGATCGTTTATTTGTTTGCTGTCCAGAATACCCCCCCCCCCTCCCTTTAGACGGTTCCCTCTACCGTTCCTTAGTCATCCAGCCTATCTCTTCAGTCCGGACACAAAAATATTCAATTGTACCCCCCGGGTATGTAGTAGCAAACTCACCTGGCGGTAGTAGGATCTGTGGTGGAAGAGAATTTGAATAAATCCTATTTCTTACTGTGACAGATACTTCCATTACATCGGATCTTCTTCAACTACCTACTTTCTATGTAGAAGTAATGGTTGTAAAATATTCGTAACAAACTCACCACAAAAGGTAATGAAAAAAGGGGTTTGAATTCAAGTAAACCATTGGCTATTCATGTGTCCATGGAGAACTGTGAGTGTCTCTGAGTTAGAAAATTATACTGGCAAAGTAAATGCAACAATTAATAAACACTAAAACCAAACTATGGATATGCCGTTAGGGAAACCTTTGGCTAATGATGTTGAGGTGACTTTCCAAAAAGCCTTTTGATTTAAATTATTTAAATTACGACAATTCTGCAGACTTATAATCGAGACTTAGTGCAGCACAAATCGCTATGCTAAGATATGAATTGATTGATTGGTACATTTCTTTTACAATAGAGGAACATGTGTTGTGGCAACCGGTGACGTTGATACTGCATGTGTGCATGTGTGCATGTGGACACGTGTCTCTGACGACAGCTACACACGAGGATATGACGGCATGAAGGGCGGACAGTCATGCAGACGACATGAAGGGTAAGCAGTTATGCAGCAGTGCAAGTGCATCGCTGACTGAACTGAGACGCCGCGCCGCCTGGTACGGTGACAACACTGCACACTGCAGTGTAGACAACTGACAACTTTATATCTGACAACCCCCTCCCACTCTCTCCATTACTCGCAATCCACGTCAAGTCTTCTGTTGGTTACTCGTATTATTGACACATAATAGCAAAGTGGAAATGAACCAGAATCTGAAACAAGTCTGATAAATGCAGTATCGTAAGTAAACAACAAAAGTTCTTACTTACCACACACGCCAAAAAAATAAATACAGTTATTTCTTTGGAATTCAAAGACTGCAGTGTTTTCTTGTGTATTTTCCATTATGCAACGATGCTAAACCAACTGTCTTAATCCTTTTTAGACTCCTATTGGAAGATAAATGTTGCGGTTGCCACAAATTAACATCGGAGGGTTATACTGTATATTATTGGTGACAACGTTTCTTTATTGGTATCAACGATCACATATTGGTATAATGGTTATGGGCCGATTTTTTCTACAACTGCCTAGCGAAAATTACTTTTAAGAATTTATAGACATTGATAAGATTGATTGAAAAGTGGTCGTTGACATATAAAAAAACAAATTAAAGTGCGTCTGTTCGCAAGCAAACAGAGGTCAGCTTGTTCTGTAGTACCACTACCACTAACACACTAACACACAATAAACACAATCGTCTCACCACTGATTTGTTGGCCCACACCACTTCCTATTAACCCGTTTACCCCAAGACCGATAGGTCTTTTTCAATATACAAAACCATTTTCAAATCAGTTTAAATCACCCCTTCCCATTAACACCCCCGAAACAGAATCCGACCACGAATCAAACGAAAATCAAACGGCTCTTCTAAACAATCCCGAAATAAATAATCGAAATAGGGTCCGTCCCACCTGACGGCGATTTGTGAGGGACGTGTAATAATGGAAGACTTCCAAAATGGAGGAGCGACCCCTAAATCACTACTCATGCCCGGCAAAAAGACGGGGCTATAAAAGTCGTCATAAGTTCCGACGGAGGTCAACTTTTGTTCGGGATGCCACTCATAAACCTCGGGGGGAGGGGCCGCCGAAATATTTCATCTCGATTTATCGTCTTCATGAACAACTTTCCGAATCGAATTTGTTTCGATATATATAGTGAAATAAATAAGTGGTATCTATGAAGAGATCGCAGAAACGTCGTTCGGCCAATGATGCATGGTTGTTAATTATGGCTCGCGCGATTGAGTGGATTCGATTGTAATCTGTGATTGACGCGAGGGGGAGGAACGACACGACGTCGACGTAGCGTCGTGAGCCTAGGTGGGCGACCAGCGAGCTACCAGCGTCCACGTACATGCGGTATTCCCACCGCGTCACCTCAACACATCCAGCATCAGCATAGCCTACCTTACACAACGATCAAATAACAACAGAACACAATTTGGTCATTTAATGACGTGAATTAGCCCATGCATTTCTAATTACATTCAACATAAGTCTTCTTATCTTACTCCTACAATAATACATATTGCTGTAATGTTGGTAGAGGTACCTCTATACTACGGTACTTTCATTGGTTTAAAATACAATATTTAACCTATCAATAGGACTTATTGACAAGAATTATTGACATATATCTCTGTTTCCACTGTCATATCAGTGTTACAGGAGTGAACTTGTCAATAATAACATAAGGAAACTAACGTAGCCTATAAAAAAGTCCTTGTTATTATTGGAATTACCATTTTATAGTTCATAAAGAGGCCAACAATATTCAAAAGCACTGTAACACATCACTGTAACAAGAGGGTTAAATGTATATAAAGGTAACCACCATAGAAGAATCTTGTGTTGGTTACTCTATGGCTCTATGTCACCCATGCCACCACGAAGAATTAATTCTTCTTTATTATTCATGTTACACTTTTGCTACTTGTTGAGTGTTAGTGTATGAACTTTCAATACTACTTAATTTCCCCAAACCTTTTAGGGCAAATTGTACTTTTATGTGAGCATTAGTTGTAAAATAGCAGGGATTAGTTCAGTTGCAATGCATAAATTTTATGCTCATTTACATAATGTGTTAATAGTTTTATGTTTACAATTACAACCTAAGTATTTGCTAAGCTTAGTACAAAAACATACTATAACATTTATACAACAAGATATAGTACACAAATTCATTGAAATAGTTTTATAAATTTGTCAGTCACAATCACGTTTGATATTTGGAAACCCATATAGGCTACTAGTAGGACAAACATGTTGGAAAATGTATAAAAGAAATCGGGAATACTAACTATAATAGGAAATTACCAAGATTGGAGGAAAAATTTTAGAGTGTAAAATGTAAATCAATGTATGTATTGTAGTAATTTTAATGTAATTTTATCTACAAATACTCTACGATTGTCTCAATATGGACACAAATTATCAATACTGTAAGCTACACAAAGAAAATCAAGGAATCGTATAATAAATTATATAGATTTGGTTATTTTCATAACCGGTATATTAAAAGAGGTTTTGAGGTTAAACATGAAATCAATTGCAATAAAAGTAAATAAAAGTAATATTTCATGACTTAAAGTGACACAAAAAGTGTAGTGCGATGGCCGGGAATCGAACCCGGATCAACTGCTTGGAAGGCAACTATGCTGACCATTACACCACCATCGCACGGTGAGAGGATGAGAGCAACAACGAGTACTAGAGCAGTATCAAGGCGTTAGCGCGGTAAGATTTCGATTATTTACATATTTTAACAGGGGAAAATCATCATCATAACAGTACCATATAAAAACATGACAGGGTTTATAGATTTCAATATTCTGAATAAACCACTTTGGTGGATTTTTATAATTTTTGTATTCAAAGAAAGATAATTTTGAAAGGAAGAGAATTTTGAATCCATGTTTTTTTAAGTCTAGCGGCCGACGTTAACAGTTTAGTACACAAATTTAAAATCTATTTTAAAGTAATAAATATATATATGCCTGCTAAATAGTTTGAAAAAATACAACGAATCACAACTATCCGTTTTGCAAATCTTTACTATATACAGCTTAGATTGTATCAATATAAACTCGATTTCAGCAAAAAATTACATAGCCGCAAATTATTGTTTAGTGTTAAAATATATAACATAATCGATTTAAAAATATATATATATACTACTAGTTGTTCTGTCCGTGTTTCGCAACAGGGAGAATATTGTGGGTCT